TGTGTGTGTGTGTGTGTGTGTGTGTGTGTGTGTGTGTGTGTGTGTGTATGCGCGCGCGCACATGTGCGTGAAGAACAAAGGACTTCAAATGTCATTCTCTGGGCACCATTCATCTTGGATTTTTGTTTGTCTCCTTTTGAGATAGGGTTCACTGTGTAGCTCTGGCTGGCCCAGAGCCTGTTACGTAGATCAGGCTGGCCTCATTCTCACAGAGATCCACTTTCCTCTGCCTCCCAAATGCTGGGGTTAAAAGGACGCATCACCACACCAGCGCCATCTTGTTTTTTTGAGACAGGATCTTTCACTAGCCTGAAGCTCACCAAGTAAGCTCGGCTGGCCAGCCAGGAGCAGTCTGGTCTCCACTGCTCATCGTTGGGATTACAGGTGTGCACCACAAAAGCAGCTCCTTTGACTAGTTGGTTAGCTGGTTGGTTTTCGGCATGGAGCAGACTCAGATTCCTATTCCCTTGGCCCTTTACCGACTGAGCTGTCTCCTTAGCCTCTGACTACAATTTTAAATGAGGTTTTTTTTTTTTTTCTGAGATCTTGGTTTGGAGTTCTTTTGGTTTAGGGAGCTTTGTTATTGAGTTTGAGGTTGTTGTGTTGTGTTGTGTTGTTTTAATGGAGCTATGTATCTATGATGGTTCGTGTTAATTAGCTGTCAACTTGACAGAATCTGCACTCACTTTGGAGACCAGCCTCTGGACTTGCCTATATCTTGATTGTATTAACTGAAGTGGTGAGATCCACCCACTGTGAGCGTCACCATTCCCTTCACAGGGATGCTACACTGAATAAACTGGAGAGGAGGAGCTGATGCTCAAACCTTGGTATGTCTTTCATTCTTGACTGTGGACGCCATGAGAGCCTCTACGTTAGGCCCCAGCTGCCATGGCCTTATCTCCTAATGGATTACACCCTGGAACTATTGGCCATAATAAGCCCTTTCTCCCTTAAACTGTTTTAGTTAGAGCACTGGTTCACCATCTTAGGAAAAGATTCTTTCATTAATGTTGGTTCTAACATATCTTCATTTCCCACAGAACAAGCAGGCATCCCGTCCCTAAGAGTTAACTTGTACTCAAGCCTCAAAAACAGAGTCCAGATACATTTTCTCCAATCATCTTAACAAAGACATCAATGTTGTCAAAACTCAAGGTTGGAAGCTGAGCTGTTATTCTCTCTCTGGCCTCATTATTACAACAGACTCGTTTTCATACTCTTTCATGAGAAGACTGCCATTTTCCACACAAACCATTATATACTGAATCTGTTTTAAAAGCAAACCAGGACTCTCCCTGAAATATTCCAAGGTGCATCGCCATAGTTTCACACCGATGCTTCAGCATGTCCACATCGTTACCGCACCAAGCACGATCAAAGTGAGCACAGGGGCTGTGCAAGTGTGAGGACATTAGTTTGAATCGCCAGCACCCACATAAATAGCTAAGTGTAGCTTCAAGTGCCAGTAACCCCAGCCCATGTGGGGCGCATGGGAACCCTGAGGGCTCTGCCTGCCGGTCTAGCTCAGGTTCAGTGAGGTACCCTGTCTCAAGGGAATAAGGTGGAGAGTGATAGAGCAGAACAGCAGACTTCCTCTCTGACCTCTTCAGCATGCACAGGTGTGTAGCTCCAGGGAGCTCTAGGCCCTCCTCGGGCCTCCTGGAATGTACGAAGCGCAAATGGACAAACATGCGTACACATGAATAATCAATAAAGATAACTCTTTTAAGAGGAAGCTGAAGGATTTAAGTTAAACAGCTTTGTGATAAAGGGATAAGATGGTTTCAAAAGAAAAGGGAAAAACAAAACAAAAACCTTCCACAAAACCATGCTCTGGCCTCATGTATACTTTTTCCATCCCAGGAATGGAACATTTTTAGCCTAATCCACCTGATTGGATATTACAAGTGAAGCCAAACATTCCTCGTATATTTTCTCTATTATGTGACTTAAGCACATCAAACGTAACACTGTTAGTCCAAAAAGAAAGACTCCTTCAGAGCCCTCATGCTCAGGTCCTCGTTCAAGCACCCAGGGAGCGATGCCGCCCTAACAGCTTCAGAGGGCACACGGCCCTGTCTGAGGAACCATTATTCTGTCTGTAAATCACTTCCCTTCATCCCATCCCTCCTTCTTCACATATGTAAATTGCCATGTCTGATCTCCAGTCCCCCTACCAGCCACAACAACCAAATTACCCTCAAGGGACCTCCACTGCCTTGTTATTTCGGTCTCAATACTAAGAGCAGCAGTGAGGTGAGGGGAGAGAAAGGCTATTATATTTTCAGAAGTCAGGATTCTTCCTGATTAGGTTTCTGGCTCACTGGTAAATCTTTATTCCCTGAAATGTATTATTTCTGTATTTGGAATATTTGGCTTTCTTGGAGCCAGACTATTGTACAGTGTTTCCAATATAAATTGTCTCTAATAACATATGCTGAGTTTTGAAGGGAACACTTGGTCACATTCTAACCCCTTCCCCTCGGGACCCAGCCCCAGCGTCCAGCAGCACTTCTAAGGCAGCAGAAGAGAATTTTAAACAACTCACACACAGCCTCGTCCCCTAACGAGCATGGCTCCTTTTTCCTCCTACCCTGAGGCACCTTATGGGATGCTTAGCACTTAGAACACACAGATCTTTCTTTTTATCACAAAATTTATAAAACGAATTCCCCTTTTCTCCACTATTTAAAAAAAAGGACAATTCCTACCAAGGTTGAGCTGTGGCTCCCTGCTTAGGCTACATGTCAATCGTAGCACGATTAATAAGAATAAATAGCACATGTGTGTTTCGAGTGGCGAATGTCAATGGAGAAAACCCACCACAGAAAGTCCAGACCCCCAAACAGGATTATCTACAGACAGAAGTTGCTCCATTTTCACCATAGCATCTCAGAATTGTAAGAAAATATTTTGTTTTCATGCACTAAAAACCCCAGAAGAAAGCCCTTCTGCTTTTCTTTCATTAAAATTGCACACTTGGATTTTATTCCCAACCTTGAACAAGACACAATCAAAAGGGAGAAGACACAGCTTGCTGTGATGTTGCATTAGGCTCAAAATCCAGATCTCATGTCAGCCTGAACTGAAGGCATCTGCCAAGAGACTATTTTCACTATTCAGCTGGTGCCAGCCAGAATCCGCTTCCACAGACCTGCACACGGATGAGAACTGAAGCTCTCAGTTATTTCTCTCCATTTCTTCCTCAGACATTCTTCCCGTTGCAGAGCAGGGAAGCCATTTTACTAATTCATAAGTACTCTAACTATCCAACCATCTAATATTTGTTTTGCTCATCAATAACAGTCAACTAAAAGCAAAGCACATCCCACAGGGGTTAGAGGGAAAGGCAGGCAATGGGTGAGTATTGACTGGCCAGACCCTGATACTCACTGAAGGCGGCCACTGCCAGGGCCAGGGTGACAATGATGGAGAACCAGGATACCCACAATGCCTTCTTCCTGTAGTTTTGGGCTTCATGAGGTTTCAGCCGGGTGCTGCTTTCCAGTAAACCTGATGGAAACAGGGAAGATGGGGAGTAGTAAGGCATTTCCATATGACAGAACACACATCTCATCCAAAGATTGCAAACCCACGGCCTGTGGGCCGACATGTTTTCTGTCTGGCCCACAATGTGTTTTCACAATTAGGAAATTCCACATTAAAAAAAAACGACAAAATTATAAAATGTTCTGGCATCCCTTACAAAACCATAGGCCCTGGCAGTAGCAGATAAGTGTTTCCACAGGACGACAGAAACTCTCTGAGTTAGAGGAGCCCACACGCCTCTCCACTTCTGAGGTCACACCATGCCATTCTCTGTCCCCTGCACTAAGTTGCTCGGCTCAGTAGGGTTTTCTCATCCCAACAAAGCCCTTCCCCTGGGAAAGAACTGTAGTAGCTGATTAAGCATTTGGGCTCCTCCTCAGTGAGCACTGATCCACTAGTATAGTCTCAACAGCAGTGTTAGATTTACACAAACCAAAGAATCATAGATTGTGCAAATGCCCTCACTGTACCCCTTGGCAACCAGTAACCGTCAGGCCCAGATTACGCAGCATGTTTTCTCCTTCCTTTGTATGAAGCACACATTAAGCAAATAACTGATTAACTAACCAATTAATTAAAATTATTAAATCTCTTTTGGGGATCTGGGGAGATAGTTCATTCGATAAACTGCCTGCCACACACACATGAGGATCCAAGCTGGATTCTCCCTGTGAAATAGCCAGGCATGGTAGCACAGGCTTGTAATTCCCAGCGCTTGGGAAACAGAGACCACAGATCCCTGGAGTTCACTAGGCAGCCAGCACACCCTGCTTGGTGGGTTCCCAGCCAATGAGAGACTCTGTAACAAGGTCTATAGCATCCCCAAGGAAAGACTTCTGAAAGTGAACTGCACCACACACACACACACACACACACACACACACACACTATCAGAATATGAAAGTACAGTGAATCTGCTAAAGCCAGAACTATCTTCTTAAAAAGGCTGCAAGTACAACAGGTTTTATTTATCTCCTGTGCTTTGCATGTTAGGAGCCCTTAGTGAGCAGGAATCTGTGACAATTTGCCCGCAATGCTCACTTACACATCTTCAGGGTGATCTTGATATGTACTCTTTCTTATCCTTTGAGAAAAAAAAATGGGATTGGACAAATGGCTTAGTGCTTATGGGCACATATTGCTCTTTCAGAAGACCCAAGTTTGATCCCTAGCACCCATATCAGGCAACTCACAACTGCCTGTAAGTTCAGCTCCAGGGGCTCTGGCATCCTCTGTCCTCCTCACATGCAGACATATTCACATATGCACAAATAAATAATAAGAATAAAAGTATTTTTAAAAGACTAAAACTGTAACCAGGTGGAGGTGGTGCAGCCCTTTAATTCCAGCACTCGGGAGGCAATGGCAGGTAGATCTCTGAGGTTGAGGCCAGCTTGGTCTGCAGAGCACATTCCTGGACAGCCAGGGCTACACAGAGAAACCTTGTCTTGGAAAAACAAAAAGAAAAAGGAGGAAAAGAGAAGAAGGAGGAAGAGGAGAGAAGAGGAGGAGGAGGAGGAGGAGGAGGAGGAAGTTTGTATGTGTCATTTCTTCATTACCAGAGAGCCAAACTTTGGTCATGTATCTTATGCAAGTAAAAGCCAGTTGTGCCAGCTCTGGTTACATAACGTATCTTTCCGAGGTTGGGCAGCCTCATCACATCACTATAGACAATGATGGATGGAGAGGTGGAGCTTAGGCGCCATTTGTAGAAAGTGTGCAATGCATCGCATATAAGCACCATTCACTTGTCTGGCTGACTACCACCATAGGGGCAGAAAGGACAGGAGACCGTTCTCCCTCTATAGTTAGAGTCATGACTGACACACCTACCAGACAGGTTCACGGGGGAAAAGGTAACAAATGCATTGAAACAAAGATCTGCATGATGGGTCGGGGATGTAGCTCAGTCAGCACAGAGCCTGCCCAGCTCTCACGAAGCCCTGGGTTCTGCCCACAGCATGTATAAACTAGAAGCGGGGAAGGGGCATGCTGAACTCTCCACACTTGGGAGATGGAAGTGAGAGGATCATAAGTTCAAGGTCATCTTCAAATACATAGGGAGTCTGAGTGTGTCCTGGGGTACTTAAGACTCTGTCTCAAAAATTAGTAAGAACAACAACTGGGATAGGAGGAAGGCAACAAAGGAAGGAGGGAGGATAAGGAAAGAAAGAAAAGGTGAAAAGAGTGAGGGAAAGGAAGGAAGGAAGAGGGAGAAGAAAGGGGGTAGAGAGAAAGAGGAGCAGGGAGAGAAGGGGTGAAAAGAGAAAGAGAGATCATCCATCCTATGTGACATAGAAGGTTTTGGAAATAAGGACCCAGCATCCAAGGGAAGCTATTTTTATGCTCAGATCCAATGAAAAATGCATATGCCTGTAGAGATGAGATTAGAGAAGAGATGAACGAAGCAGAGAAACTCAACAAGACCCGTCTGCTCCAAGCCCTGGTGTTTCCTGTAAGACACCAACGTGGTGGGTGTGGGTCAGGGGCCCTCTGGAATGAGACCTTTTGGTTGACTCACTATTTGACAAGGAGAGTCAGAGTTTCCCTGTGGCCAGCTCTTACACTTAGGGGATGGGGTGGGCATAGCAATACTTCTTGGGCTTATGGCTATCTTTGCGGGATAAGGGTTGAAGTTTCTTTCCTATCTTGGTTTAACATTTGGGATTTTTAAGTGTGTGTGTGTGTGTGTGTGTGTGTGCGCGCACGCGCGCATACATGTGTGTATGTGTGTGGAGGCCAGAAGTTAGCCTCAGGTCTTGTTCCTCAGGCACCATCTGCACAGGTTTTGTAACAGTGTCCTTCACTCAGCCCGGAGCCAGCGGGCCCCAGGGATCTGCCTGTCTCCACCTCCTCAGTGGGGGCCACAAGCATGTGCCACCACACCCAGCATTTTTCACATGGCTTCCGGGGATACAACTCAGGCCCTTGTGCTTGCAAGGTGAGCAATTTCACAGCTGCACCGTCTCCCCAGTTTCTGCAACCACCCTTGGGGGTGAAATGGAGACAGGAAGAAAAAGGGGAAGGGGAGGCTTTGCTTCTAAGGCCTCTTGGAGACCTTCAGCTCGGAGTGCCCAGCATGCCAAAGTAACACGACCTATTTTACAGGAAAAATACGATGAAGTACAATCAAGGAAGACACTGGACATCGGCCTCTGACCTCCGCCTGTGCACGTGAGCACACACACCCATGCAATTTTCCTTTGATCCTGGTCTATTGGTTTCAGGAGAAGTGAAACGATACCATTTAAATACCAGCTCAAATGAATGGTTCATTTGCCAGGCATTGGGACAGCACCCATTTCAAGAGGCTTGAGCCCTTTAAGAGGCTGGTTTACTTTCCCACAGGGACAATCACGACTGGGTACACCTTGAGCATTCTGCCAGGCAGCATTTCTTTCTCCTTCCAGAGCTGGCTGGTTTCAACACACCTGGCCCTGACCACACATCGGGTGCTTCCCCCGGCCTTCCGCAGGACCAACACTCCCTATGGGAGATTCAGGTGGCAGCCATAGGGGTCTGACCACCTGCTCCTGTGGCTTCCGAATTCTCTGAGCCAGTAGGACTGGAAGTTCTTCCCCATAGCTGACCTTTCTTGTGGCTCCCCTGAGAGACTGTAAAACTGAAGCGGGGGAGGGGGGGACATGAAGTCATTGTGATGGAAACACTATCCAAAAGAGGAAGGGCTTTTTTCTTTCGATGCAACTGTTCTTGTCTGTTGGTTTCCTTTGTGAAAATGCAGCTGAGGGGCTCATGAGGGGCTTGGCGGTTAAAGAACTTGCCGTGTAAACATGAGAAGCTGAGTTCAAGCTCCTGAACCTATCTATATAAATGCCCGGGATGATGGTGCGTGCTCGGGGCCCTGGAAGCTCACTGGCCAGCTAGCGGAATGAAGCAGCTCAGGATCCATGAGAGGCTCGCTTCCCAAAATAAGCTGACAGCGCTTGAAGAGTGACACTTGAGCTTATCTCTGGCCTCTACACACACGCACCCCTGCTCAGCCAGCCTATACATACACAGACACATGTATGGCTGATGCCAAAAATGGGCAGCTTCTACCCACAGGGGAAGTAGAGCCTGCGGACCCACAGGGCTCGGCTCAGAAGTGACTGCTCTCTAGGCTGGCCTTCTGCATCCAGGCCAGAGGCCCCACACTCCAAGCCACAGGAATGTGGGGGAGAGGGAGGGTTCAGAAGGCAGCGTCTCCACAAGGGAGCCAGGCCTCAGGTCCATGTGCAGCCCTGCAGCCCCCGTGCCCACAGCAGCTTCCATGGTGGAACTTCAGCCTCACTTGAATTTTGTAACGTGGGCCCGACAACACTAGGACTTGTATAAAGGGGGGGGGGGGGGGATACACGTGAAGATGGTGTTTCCTTAGCAGTCGGAACTACTTCTCCTGAGCATATCCGCTTTGTTGTCGGTGTGTTGAGCCTCGCTCTGAATGCAAGACTTTGGCCCAGAATTTGACATGTTGTCCAGGCTGGCCATGAGCTCACAGTGATCCTTTTGCTTCTGTTTCCCAAGCACAGGTGTTCTAGGACTGGGCCACTGCATTAGGCCACTGAGCTTTCATTCTCTGCAGGAAGGCTTTTGTTATTGTTGTTGTTTGATTGTTGTTGTTTAATGGGCAGCTAGAGGAAAGAGCTAAATAAAGCCTATAACTCTGGAAGGTGGTGGCACACCCTAAGGTTTGGAAATAGGTATTAACGGGGAAGAGGAACCCTAAGATCAACTGGGCGTGTGTGTGTGTGTGTGTGTGTGTGTGTGTGTATGTGTGTGTGTGTGTGTGTGTGTGTGTGTGTGTGTGTTAGTTCCCAGAGGTCTTAAACCACATAGTGCTGGCTTGCTTCCTGACCAACAGGCTCAATCAGCTGTTATAGTAATGTTGAGACATTCTGAGCTCGATGGAACTCAGGGAAATAGCCCTAAGAAGAAAATGTCTCCAAAATCGCAAACCACTTGGT